CGTTGATGCACGCTAAGCTTAAAGAAACGTCATTCGACAGATTAAATTTTGATTTTGATTTCAAGTTACTCGCAGAACTTGCCCCAATCAACTAATGTCAGTAGAATAGGTATTAATGTCTACTTGATCCTCCCAGGGATTTCACAAGGGAACACATGAGCTCGTTTGAAAACTTACTAATTTCGTTTCTTTTTCACTAACTTTGGTACTCATCTACCTAATTTTGGTTTTCAAAGCTAATATAAGCTAGTCACTGGCGAACATTAGGCATTTTTAAACAGTTTTCAACATTTCCATCTTCCAGAGACAGATGCGTCTCGACTGAAATGGGTAATGCGATTTAGGGAATTGTTGTCACGACAACAGCTTCTATCATAAGTATGCGAAGCTGCGAGCTGGAGATTGCGGTGCTATGGGCAATTATAAACTGTAATAGTCGACAAGAAGCATAGTCTTTTCCTATGGCAGCGGTTACTAGTGCCGTAGCCCACAATGTGTCATCCTGGAGTGTCGCCCCATGAATGATTAGCTTTACCCTGGAAACAGAAATTTGAGGTTTTGAAAAACAGTTATCGAATTTGATGGGCTTGATGGCTGAGAATTAGCAGAGCGAGCACTGAGCATAATTTCGCGTTCTGTGTCAAATAATACTTGTCTGGCAGCGTAGCCGCCACTGAGGTATTTCGAGACTTAGACACCGTATTTTTCTTTGAAATGAGACCTCGATGAAATAGATTATCTCATTTTCCACTCATTTGCTTATTTCATTCCTGTCTGCCATCGAGAAACTCTATCAACTCTTAATATACTCTATGTCTCTACGTTACATATACATAAAAATCAAACAAACACAATGAGTATCTTAACCATTAAAGTTAACAATAGATCGAGTACCAATCGAATTAGAGGTCTGGACGCCATTTTCGAATCTAGCACTGATTTATAGTCATTGTGAGTTATTCCCGATTTTGATCAACGTTGAGTTTTGAAAAAACCAAGTCTCTTCAATGACGTCACGCGATCCAGACTTGCAAGTTGTTTAACATGGTTCAGCTCACAGATGCAGGCATATGCGTATCGGATTTAGCATGGATGGAAACCTATAGGGATATATAATGAAACTTTGTTTTTTGAAATATTATTAAAAGTTTGATAGTTTTCGAAAAAAGTATTTTGTGTTTTTCTCGAAATGATGTTTGTTCTTGCACTACTTCCGTAGCTGCAAGATTTCTCAGTAACGAAATGTTGTAGAGAGCTCCGACTGGTCTTAAATTGAAGCTAATAGCTATGGTTAGAGGCTAATGGAGCCCGATTTTTGATATTCGGTCTAGATTTGTGGTTAGAGAATCATCTTTGTGCAAGTTAATCGGACTTTTTCGAATTTTTGACTTTATTGTTTGGGAAGTCTTTTTCGAGCATCCGCCCTTGAATCGAGATTTTTGAGTTACAGGATGTCGCAACTTTTGCTGAGGGTTATAAGTCGAAGTACGATTGAATAATTTTCTAACTTTATTCAGATTAGTGGTAAATAATTGTATAATTATAGATCTACGTTTCATTGTTGTTCGATTTAGATCATACTCAATGTTCAAGGTATGATCGAGCATGCTTTAAATGTACAAATTGTAAATATATTTTAGCAAGAATTATTATTGAACTGATCAGTTAAAAAGTCATTAAAAACAATTGAAAATTTATACTCAACAAGTGTTGAAAGCTGAAGTACAATCCCACTTTGTTTCTAAGATCTTAAAAACAGAAAGAATAGAAATAAACCTTTCTAATTTTCCCTCTATGACTTACGAGTATTCTCTCTTAAGAAAAGTGTATACTCTCGCTTGTCTCATTCAACAGGTGATTTCTATCTATTGTTAGAGAAAAAGATTACTTTTCCTAACCAATTTATTTTATTCTTCTCACTTTGCTGTAAAAGTTAGTCAGATGACAAAAGAACGGATCGTCGTGTTGGACATTTTTTTTCGAAGTGGTGTGTTTAGTCATTTTAGTTTTAGCAATATTTTTTTATCTATGATATGTTTGACCATTTTTTTATATGTTCTTCTACGTTGACCTGATTTTTTCTTCTTGATTCCACCCGTATCTAGACTAGTGTATTTTCCGTTTGTTAGCTGTACATGGTGTCTCGCTAGTTCTGCGAGTAACTTGAAATCAAAATCAAAATTTAATCTGTCGAATGACGTTTCTTTAAGCTTAGCGTGCATCAACGAAAAATTACTGATAACAAACAAGAGGGCAACTATTTAAAAGAAAAAAGGTTAGCTGAGAGAACTGTTGCCAGTAGAACAATTGCAATCGCCAAATTTGTCAATCCCTGCATAATTTTGATTAACTTTACTATACTGTGTTTTGGTTCAAATTAAATACACTGTCCCTTGTATTTTTAATGCGGTGCGAAGCAAAACCGCATTCTAGTAATAAACTGCGTCTTTTCTTTCTACGGGAAAAATGTATCATTTTCTGTAACGATTATCTCAAAAACTATAGGTAGTGCTTTGAAAATTTAACCGCAGGTACAAAGCGATGTATCTAAATTTATAAATGAGCTATTTTGAGTCTTTGTAGATGTTCCAGTTGTTAATTAGGATGTTCGAAAGTTCGACCTTTCGATAAAATCCCGTTCGACCGTTTGGGACTTGTAATTTTTTCAAAAAAACGATAATTAATACATATTAAGGCACTTTTATAAGAAGTACCATATTAAGGAAAGGAGATAAGTAATATAGAGAAATCGAGAGATTTTACGACAATTGGTCTCGTCTCCACTCACGTAAACTTGAACAATAAACTTATTTGAGGAGTAGAAAGTTACATCTACTACACCATTGTTTACGCTACCTAAACCACTATTTACAGATACCTGTTTTTCTATTTTGTTTCGTGTTTTTGTGAAATACTAGCTGTACTTTTTATATAATAACCGATTATTACCACAAATACATATATTACACACAAGTTGAACTTAATACTGAGACTTTATATTTCTATGAAATCCATGACTAGAAAATCATAAAACACATTAGAACAAGTTGCTTCGCACCGCATTCGCATCTCTCGCAGAGTGTGAGTGCCCGCTAGTTTACTTGAGTAATCTACTAGGATTTTTCAATATCATTTTATGTTGTTATCAGAGCCCTACTTCCTTTACTCGAATTTCTTCTAACCTTTGCGTTACGTTAAATGTCAACAGAGGGATTTGTTTTCTCAGTGATACACGACAAAAACAACACTCTATTAGATAAAACCATTTCATTATATTCATCTTTGCAAACCTATTTATTCGGTTCCTCTTTGAATCATACATAAGCAGCCGGTTTTACCGTCTAGAGTATCGCCATTCGCGAATAGTCAGTCACACTTGTAACGTACGATAAGTTTGGTTAACAAACTTTCTTATATGCGACTTTTCAGATTCTCATTGTTTGTGCTGAATGGCACCGTTATTCGGTGTACTATTTCTTGTATTGATGCCGATGTGTTTTACGCAATATGCAATTTATGTCGAACCTGGCGGAACTCTCGAGTTGACGGGAACGGGCAACTCCTACCATGTAAGTGGTGATTCGTCGCAGCACAAAAAACCTGAAGCAATTTGGCTTGGATCTGGTGCAACTATCAACTTTAAGGGAACGGACAACGCTTTCCATATAACTGATACATCGGAGCAGAACGGAAAACCTCAACAACAAGTAAGGTTTAAGTCACCTTGAATATTTCTCTCAAACACTAATTGGCAGACACATCACACCTGTGAATGAAACATAACATTTCTTATAGACAAAGAAAGATATTGCAAAATTATTTATTTATCATTCATATTTTCAGGTTTTTCATACTGTCGGAGGTAACAGAGTCTCCTACCGTGGCCCGGATGAATCAAATGTTAACTCACTACTCAATATATTAGCCAATTCCCAGTCCTACAAAGACGAGCAAGCTAAGCGGCTCAATCCACCTGCTCACGTGCCATCATGTGCGATGAAACAACGTAATTTTTCTCTCATTCTGCGTCTGTTTGATTATCGATCGAACATTTCCCATCTCGTTGTCCCGTTGTACGTGAAAGCCTACCGACTAATCCATTATGACCTGCTCCACACATTGTTGAATGTCAATGCGAGTGGTATCTTTCAGACGAATGAATTAACTTCTAAACTTAGTTCTACCGTGTCCACATTGAACATTACACTTCATAGAGCCGTTCTGGCCTGCACTCTAATTAAAAATTTGGCCGCTCATGCGGAGGGAACAACTATCTTAAGTATGGACGATGTTGAGTCAACTGTCCGCTCGCATGAAACATGTCTAGCCGAGTTTCATGCATCTCTCACTGGACTACAAAGTCGATTGGGTTTGGCCAATTCGCATAATCAACAAATACAAGCGGACTACTCGCATGCGCTGCAATTGTATAACGAAGCCACCGAGCGATATGAAGATTGCTGGTTTTTCTGTGGTGATCTCGAAGACGCAATGAACACTGCAAGGACGTCATTAGTGACTACTCAGCATAGGAAAACGGAAGCAGCCAAGTACACCGGCAATTTGACCAAAGATATAATCAGTCTTGAGACAGATGTTCAACACTATCGAAAAGAACTTGATTTCAAGAAGAACGCGTTGCAAAGTATCAGACAACAACAATCAAAGTTGGCGACAGTTATGAAAGAATTAAAAGAAGCATTGAAACACGTAACAGACTTTCACGATGTTTTTGATTCACGAAGTACGTTCAATTCTATTGTTCAGAATTTATTTACACTTGACACGGTTATAATTCCATTGAATGCTATCTATGAAGTGATGCAGGAAAATTATAAGATGGCCCCATTTGCTGGTGGTCTTATCTCGACGGACACGATCAATCAGTTCAAGTTGAAGCTCAACATTCTTAAGGTGAAAGCAGAGGAAATGGATCAAAATTTGTTCAATAACAACTACGAAGATTATGATTAGACTCTGGTATTGGAATAGATTAATTACGTTAATTATGATTAAGTTGGTGACATTGAAGAGAATGTTAGTGACAACGAAGTGAAATTGACGGATAGCAATACAGACTCGAATGACGACTAGACCTATTATATCGCTGTGTCGTAAACGGTGCGAAAAAGCTGATCAGTCGAAGGAGCTGGCGATTGTTAAATTTTTAGCTACATATAATCTATTCCTTACATTATGAATCTTGAGCATGAAATAAAAAGTTAATCTTGAACTGATTTTTCCTAACATGATGATAACAGAGCTGGGCAAGTCAAGTCAGACTTGACTTGACTTGGTCTAAATTTTTTTGGGCTGTTACTTGACTTGACTTGATCCAAAATTTTCTGAGGGTATGACATGACTTGAGAAAGCTTTTTCCAGTCAAGTCAATTCTAGTAAGAGATCTCGTTTAAATTAGACTTTTTCTAGCGTGAAAGAGAGTTGCTGAGGCTATAAAAACTCTCTCACCCAAAAATATGCTAGCAAATTTTATATTCTGCCTAATTTTAACCAGACTCAGCTTGACTTGGGAGAAAAAATTTTCCGACCTCGACTTGACTTGTCCTGAATTTTTTTTAGTGACTTGACTTGTCTTGTGACTTGCAAAACTCCTGACCTGCCCAGCTCTGGATGATAATGAGACCCGTGATACTCTTCATGTATTGATTCCAGTTGACGTAATCAACTCTCAACTTCTATTTGATCTTCTTTTGAAATATGGATAATCCCATCTACGTCTGTTCAGGTTTATCTAGTGCATATAAACGTTGACGAAGAAAGAAAAAAACATCACATACAAAGTTTATAGCCTCTGATTTGATCTCTTAATATTGTGTTGTTAGAGTTTCAGAACGTACCGAACAAGTATCAGTTGATTCACTGTGACATTTTCATACTGCAATGTTGATTGGCTTGATAATTATTCATTATGATTAGGAGTGGCACATTACTGTTACTTTTACGAGTAATCCAAATATTGTAAATATTTCTATTACCAGTAACAGTCATACTTTCCAGTTTTACTGTTGCTGATACAAATTTTATGAACATTCCTATTACCAGCAACAGTAAAACTGGAAAGTATGACTGTTACTGGTAATAGAAATATTTACAATATTTGGATTACTCGTAAAAGTAACAGTAATGTGCCACCCCTAATTATGATTATTTAGTTAAACGTGACCAGAGATGTGCGTCGCCGCTGAAGGCGGAAGAAATTTTCAGAGTCTTGCGCCGCCACCGCCGAAGGCTGAGAAAAATTATTGTGGCTTCCATGCGGTTAAACTTTTGTCGTCGCTGAGGGCGGAAATTGTTTTTTAAATCGGACACTTTTAGTCGTTGTTTTTGAGGCACTGCCCAGCGGTCCAAAGAGTTCGTTCTAAGCTTAATCGGTCGAGAATTGACTTCTCTACAAAACCCGCTATTTGAATCTCTGACAGCATTTTTTTTATTTGAATACCATTCAGAATATTAAAGGGTGCTGAGTTGTCAAACTGCCACGTGCTTTTTGGAGATTTTCAGCCCATTGTCTGGTATTTAATAACTTATTTTTCTAAGTAGAAAGATAGAGAACTTTTTGCTCTATCGATATCACTAGTTTACAGCTACATATAATGTTTCCGCTATGTCTGTTGGACCTATAATTAGTTATGAACCAGCTTTTCAACGTTTTCAAATTAAAGCAATTTTTTTAATTAACGATTTCAATTGAGAAACTGTTTTTATATATCAAAAGATACAGAATTCAGTTCTGCGTAAGATAATAAGACTAAAAGCCTGGATTCCGAACGTTCTATTGCTTTTCTAGCGAAAAAAAGTTAAGTCTGTGAAAAATTAGTTTTTTTTAGATTTATCAGTTTTTTGCGCAGAGAAATTTTCCGATAAGTCTTAACTGCAAAATTTCAAAAAATATATGAGAAGATGTAAAATTTCCGGTAAATCTTCTGATCATTTCAAAGTTCTTACGGAATTTGTTTTTGAAACAAGGCAAATATTTTTCTATTTTCAGTGTGTCGCAGTTCGACAACTTAGCACTCTTCAATATTGTGAATGGTGCTCAAACGAGAAAAATGCTATCACAGATTCAAATAGCAGGTTTTGTAGAGAATTCAATTCTCTAGCGATTAAGCTTAGCAGCAGTAAATAGAATATCCTATGTATTTCATATTGAAATGTGAAAAGAATGCATTGTTTCTTTGTTTATTTGCAGCACAGGGTGTGCCATTTACTTTGGTTTTACCTAAAGCGTATGGCGCAGGGTTCTCTTACTATTTTTGTCAGTACGTTCTTAGCTTACGTTAGGCATCTAGTGTGCAGCGCTTTTTTATCTTTTCGTATACAACAACGTACAGATACAATTGATGCACGAAGATCGTGCCAGAAATGAAAGAGAACGTTGTTTTACTTAAAATTGGGGATTCGCCGCCGATAACCAATTTTTACACGCCGCCGCCGAAGGTGGAGAAAATTTTTAAAGTCTCGCGCCACCGCTGCCTATGTAAAAAATTTCATTCGCCGCCGCCGAAAATTTTTTGTGCACATGTCTGAACGTGACTGACAAACTAAACACAACTTGTGCATAAAACGTATTTCGTATATTCTGATTAAATTCGCTCGATTCAAGTTTAATACAATACACAATACATGTTTGACCTAATATATTGTCTAGTGTAAAGACTTCTACGAAACAAGCACGAAAACAATGCAGACTAAATATTTCATTTTCACACAGATACAGAATGGCATTAAACCAGTACTGAGCTAAATAAGAAATTTCTTGTGAAGTATCACGAGAAGATTCTTTGAAATTCTAAGATGATCACGTTAACACACAAGTAAGTAGTCGCTAACTGATCAAGTACATACTTTCCATAAACATCATATAAAAAACGGTTTAAATGGTATGTTTTCTCTCCTTCAAATTAATGACAAATCATTAATTATCTGTAAACAATGATAACACATTCGTGTTATGCGTAAATGCACAAGAATGCATATTTAGAACAATTAATATGCATACTTGCTTCATCATCATCAGACGTAAAACATTATTTGTAAAATATAGCAAGCGAAAATTATGTTACTTTTTTAGAAATTATTTCATCAACATTAGCTTTTTAACCGTTATTATGAGTCCTTTAGAAAAATTTAGAGATGTTCGACTCTAATATTGATGAAAAAAAATACAGTGATGCGGAATGACAAATTCTATATTGAGCAAATTAAATATACTTTATTTCTTACCTCCTTTACTTGTAATGAAAGAAATTATGTTTTACTTTCAGTTCATTGTAAGCTTGGGATTAATCAATCATTAGCAGGCAGATAATACACCAGAACAAGAGAAAACACTTTCAATTCTTTCTTTTATAACCAGCCATCACTCATATTGGACGTTGAATTGAACTAATGAGAATCTGTTTATCTTGTCTTTCATTAGTAAACAATTTTAAGGCAGTACAAAAATTTAATTATAAACTTCAAAAACAAAACAGAAGAAGAACAACAATGACGACAAGAGTAAAAAATTATGTCTAAAGAAGTAACAGCGATAGTCAGTCGAATGTACAACAAGTAAATAAAATATTATCTACTATTGAATAACGAGAGAGAAAAAGAGAAAAGTAAGTCACATATAAAGCAAATAGAAGAACAAAATGTCAAACAGGGCTACCAACTTTGAAATATTCCTGTTCAGAGAAAAAACTCTTTCAAGAATTGAAAAAAGTCGAATAAAAATGATGTCTAAATTCAGAAAATGCATGTTTTGAAAATATACTGTGCCAATGGAAGACTCGGTTCCGTGAAAACAGTAGATAGTTTCTCATTTCGTAGGATATCAAAACTTCTATCAAAACTAGAGAGAGGACTGAATTTTAATGCTCAATATGAAACGCAAAAATCTTTCACATGAAGTTGCTGAACATGTAATTATTCTGCATGACAGTATGTTCAATAACGTATTCTTATCAGCCATACAAATGATTCGCTTTAACAAAAAGCGATAAATAAACAAAAAAACAGAAAAAAATCGGAAAACGAAATAGTTAGAAAATTCGAAAGAGTTGGTAACCCTGATACAAACTTCAATCTCCTTAACATATACACATATAATATTGATTCTAGTCTAATATACATATAAATGGTCGCCGTCGTCAAAGTTTATGTGAAGAAAAATAGAAAAACGAGATTCAAGAGAAAATATTTTCAAAACAATTGAAAATCAATATTTTTTTACACAAATAAAAAATACACTATAAATTATTATTAAGAGAGAAAAAAACAAACAAATAAACTCTTACACAGAAGTTGAATAGGGTTGTTGTTCCCCATTCGATTCATCATATTTCACAAGATAAGTTCGTCGTTTATCATCACGACCATACTGACCAATAAACGAGCCATCTTCAGCAAAACGAGATTGTCGATCTTGACCATCACCAAATTCGGCCATTGAGTCACGATCATCATCTTGTAGACCATCGTGTAACGATGCCGTACTCTTTTTGATTGATGCATCACTTGGTCTATAAAAACAAAGTAGATGTTAACAAAAAAATAAGTTTTATCCAATTAAACTATTTCAACTTACGCTCGATAATATTCTGAAAATTTTCCATCATCTTGACCGTACTCGTGACCATGTAACGTTTCTTTGTCTTGAACTAAAGCAAAAGTTCATTGTAATAAAGTATTAATTTAGAAATAGTTGCATGCTCTTTAAAAACAACATTTTCACAGTTTCATATGCGGGCACTTGCTAAGAATAATAAGCAGTCAATATTTCAATAGTAATTATTAACATTTCTTGCAGCTAGCTCACGCTTTCGACTTAACATACTGTAGATATTAACTGATTAAAATTTAGTGGAAAAGAGATGCTTTCTAAGAAAACATCTCTTTTTAGTGCACCCCTCTATTAGTGATGTTAGAATCAAAAAGAAAGACTTTCTTTTTGATTACTAATAGAAAAGAGAGCGTTCGTAATGATTCCCTGTCAGAGATCTATTGCGTTAATTATAAGTCCGATCTGGATCAAACTTCCGGCAAATGTTGACCATATCAAAGTATGGTGATGAAATATTTTTTTCACTCTAGTTATCTCCGTTCGCGAGATATCGCCACAACAGTAATAAAAATTCTCGCTCAGTTTAGATGCTACGGAGCTTGGAAAGCTTCCATTTCTAGAAAAGTGCTATTGCTTTGGGAGTATACAGCCGGATTTTCGAACATTTTGCTTTACTGTTTAACACAAAATATTTTCGTCAAAATTCCTAGAAACCACCTGTTTCAAGTTCTTCAGAGATTCTTACTTTTTCCTTATTTTTCGAAACAAAATTCGAAAATCTAACTCTGTACTGTGAAAGCGATATCATTTTCTCTCCGAAGCAAAAACGAGCCCCAGTTCAATATCGACTATTTATGGAAAAATCTATATCTGTGACGGAGGAAGGAGACCCTTAAAAGCACAACATAATAAACAAGTTTTCATAAGCGTTATGAGAGTACAGAGCATGTCAGTAAGCAAAAAGCAAGATTGTTAACTTGCAAAAAATTTAGTATAATAAATGTAATATATTATCAGTCAAATTTATAAAATATTCTGTGATAACAATCTTTTGATAAATAGTCGTATTTATTGCGAAAAATTAGAGTTCTATTCGTTCTACAAATTGCCGATTAACCGTCAAGAAGACTAATCACACGATGAAGTTCGTCTTATAGATAATGAATGAACAATGTTATATATTTCCACGTCAATGTTAACATACATTCATACCATGCGAAATAAAGCATTAAAGTAGCATAAGCAATTTTTTTTAAAAAAACAAAACATGTGCCGGTATGAAAATAAATAGGCAAAAAGCTTTGATTTGAATAATGATTATATGAATATGATAAATTTTTTTGTTAAAGAAACGAAACCAAGCTTTAGAAAAAAAAATGATTTATTTCGATTACCCGCATTATACTGAGCCATCTTGCCTTTTATCGGTGCTATAATATATTTAGTGGAAAAAATGGTGACAAAAATATAATGGGATAACACTTATGAATGTTGAAACACATGCATAAATCAAACTATTATTTCTAGTATGGTCATGGGAGAAACAATTTTTTTAAGATTTTTACCTAAATAAGTTCCTTTATGAATGAAAAATGAATGGATACAAACAAGATAGTAAGCGGGTATATGAACGGCTATAGTAATTTATCCATTAGAGAATTTTCATTTAAGTTGGACTAAAGTACAACATTTAACTATATTTTTAAATCAACTTTATCATACATACCAGAATACTTTCCACCTCTCTTTCTCATCACACCGCAAACAACGGCCAAAATAATAATTAATACCACAATTGAAACAATTGTACCAATAAACCATGCTGATTTTGTAACGTTCGTACCGGGATCTACAAAATAATAAACAAAATATTTTAGTTTTGAGAGAGAGAGGGAGAGAGATAGTGAGAGAGTGAGTTTAGCTCACACTAGAAAAATACTCGTTTTTCCAGTAAACAAACTCTAATAAAATAGGAATTTCCAATTTTCCAATAAAGCATCGTTTATTATTATAGGAGATGAAGAACTAGACATATCCAATGATTAAGATTCAGCCAACAAACAGAGTCTTATCTTATGATATTGACTTTTGAAAAAAGTTTATTCGGGCGTTCTCCAATGGCTGTTATTTACTCAACAAGTTTCATATGCACAAAACAACAAAACGTAGCATATTTCTTCTAAATCATAATCTGTCGAATAAGACTTAGAATCGGGTTTTGTGAAATAATCTCAACCCTTAGTGTATTTGTCAAGATAAAACATCCCAGAATGATACTTTGATGTACGATCATAGAAAATAGAATGGATGTACCACACACGCACACACAGGAGAGCAGAAATAATATATTAGAAAAGCATAGACATGTACGAGACTAAATGATTATAAAATAATATATACGAAATTACCGACCGATAAGCGGTATTTTTATTCGAAAATATATGAGCTAAAAAGGAGTTAGCGATAAAAAATTACGCTAAGAAAATAAATGGTCTAACTCGGAAATGATAATAGCATTTTTTCGTCGAAAGCGGCTAAACATATATAAAATACATATCATTTCGCAATAAAACGTACTATAAAATGAAAAATTACAGTGAGAAGCAAATCTCCCTAGTAACTTTAGAAGAAATCTCAATATTGAATTTTATTTAGTTCATACACCGCTCCAGTATACAGAGTCTTATGAAGTAGATGAGGGCACGTGTTCAACGTTTTTCAGTATTTAGCATATTTCTAAGCCGCCTCTAATCGGATAAGCTTACTATTAAACGTTCAGATACGATCAATATTTGTCTACTCGCTTATGTAAAAATCTTCTAAAAGTATCTGTCCGTTTTCAAGTAGTAATCAAACGGAGACCAGCACCTCCAGAGCGGCTCGATTTTTCCTACTTGGAATTATTTGAGCCGATACGTTATTTTGCCTGGGGCAATTTCAGCTGCTGCATTCAAATATAAGAAGAATTAATCACAATCATTTTCTGGACGATTTCGAACAATCCGTTTGATTACTAACTCGAAAACGACTTGTAGAGGATTTTTACATGAGCGAGCAGACAAATGTTGATTGCATCTTAATATTCACTAGCACACTTATTCGATCAGAGACGGCCCAGAAATACGCTAAATACTGAGAAACATTGAACAAGCGGTTCCATCTACTCCATAAGATTCTACTAAATGATATTTATAAAGTAATTAAGTACGATTTAAAAGATGAAATTAAGAAAACCAAAAAACATAGAGCAAAGTTCAAAAGTCAAGGTATATATGAGATCCAATTCGAACATTGTACTCATCTGTCAAACAGAGAGCATCATAAAAATAACATGAGAGAAAGAGACGTTTGGTTTTGTATTTTTGTTCTGACAGTTAGCCTTGGAATATGAAGCTGATGTATAACTCTGCCGTCATCTGATAGCATCAACTAATGAGTGAGATACGAAATATAAATTTGCTACTGATGATAGAATTTTTTCCATATACAGGTGTATGTGGTTACCATTTCATACTAGAAAGTGGTAACAAGATAAAAATATCGATATTTTTAAGAAAAGTGCTTGAGAAAGTGTAAATGAAAAAAAGAGAACATATTACAATCGAAAAAGCCAATCGATACAATATGAAGTAAGTATGCTACAGAAGGCATGCATATGCTTTTATTATAATATGGACAGATAGAATTTTCCTTGAAACATGGATAAGAGAGTAGAGATTCAGTGCAATGCTGCTGATTAAATATTAGATAGACCAAGAATGTATCATGCTTCGTATATCATTATCTAAATTCGAGTTCCGATGTTGCAGTCATTCATCGGATTGTAAAAGACTTTTAATCGAAACTTGGATCGAGTATATTTTCCTGCAAAATTAACCAAAAATCTATACTATTAATGCACTTTGGATGGGTTTTCACAAAAAATCGTTTTATTTAAAGTTTAACTCAAGTTAAGACAAAGTTTACCTTAACCTTTTACCCCCGAATGGGTCATATTTAACCCATTACCGCCCAAAACACTCATGATAAAAGTGAAGAAGCATCAGATCAAAAAGCTAATCAAATATAATGTATGCAGAATTTAGTAAATTATCCATTCGTAAAAAAATTAAATAAATTCTTTTAAAAACATGAAAAATAGAAGTTTCACAGCAGTTTTACTTGATTGCTGTTCAATTCTCCTCAGAGGGTAAAGGGTTAAGCTAAAATATGTCTTTGTTTGGGCTCAGATTAAACTCAAATTAAATATCTATGATAAAAATACGATAAGTCGAAAAAGAATCTCGACTTTGTTCTATGTTTTAATACTTCAAGTTAAACATCTCGCGTAAATTTTTTGTGAAACATAGTCCACGAGTACGTTAGTCTATTTCGTTTATATTCGTGCTTAGTCTTCTTAAAAAAAGACAAAATTACATCAACTATCAAATGATTAACATACACTGTGTAAACTAATATTTATTTTGAGATATAAAATACATAAAGAAAATTTTAAGAGTCTATTTTTCTACTTAATGCTCAAACTCACCAAAACAGTCTAGAAGTGTACAGTTAAGACCGAATGTGTAATTTAAATTTGTTGTATTAGAATATGTAAGTACATTGGATGGCGTTGAAACATATTCCAACCTCTTCTCTTGGTTAAAACTCATTTGTTATTAATCATAAACAAATCATATTTGTAAACAGACTAACTAATATTTATGAAGATATCAACCAAATATTATATTCCATTATTATTAAAATAAGTTTATTTTGAACAATCATTATCATTATTATTATTATTATTATTATTATTACTATTTAGGGTAAAAAAATGTTAGGTGTGATTACATACACACCGAAAAAAAGCAAAGTAGTTAAGTGTTTCTATTGCTATTCTATCATTTCTATACAAAGGAAAAAATAAGAGAGCGAAAGAGAGAAAAAAAAGATCATCGACATTATTTTCTTATATTCTATTTGCTTTTTATTATTTTATTATTATTAGATGATTTTCCTTTTCTTTTTTTTGCTCGGTTAGGTTATTCGCGTCGGTCAAATCAAACAAATAGAAAGATCTATTTTCAATTTCTTTTTTTTTTCTCTCTAGTGTATCGAATGGTAACTGCTACAGAATATAGATGATGGTTGCATGTATATATAGTGCCTAGTTCTCTCTCTAAGCATCACTCAATTTTTCCCTATTTATACTGATGATGATGATGAACGGGAATGCGGTCATTTCTTTTCTATATCTCTATGGTATTCTCTTCGATTATACAATTTATAAAAAATTTATAGTTATATTTGAGTATCAAGTGAAGAAAATTTTTTATACATGAAAGATGTCTTAACTAAAAGTAACTGTATTATTTAGATTTTGACATCAAATAAATCTAAGATTATATTTAAAAAAAAGAATTTTAGTTTAACTCTTAAATAAAAAACAAAATAACTTAATTTAATAAATCAATGGAGTTCAAATAAAAAAAGTTTTTTTTTTTTGTTAGAATAAGAAAGCAAAAGTACCAAGAGATGATTTCAATATGGTGTCCTATTGAAAAAGACAATAGATCGTCTGTCAAAACATAAAATTTTAAAAATTGTGCGAAACACATGTATCATAGTTTTTTTCTCAACATGTGACCACTTCTAATATACTTTTTCTTTTTTGCAAAGCTGATATGTGTGTATTGTCCTGTTTGATAGTGAGACCTTGAGTTACAGCTTGCTGACAATATCATCCGATAATACAGATTAATGATAAAGGTGTTAATTTTTTTTCTTTTTTTGTTTTCGTTATTACAGAATGATATTAGATGGTATAATAAAGAAAGAAGAAAAAAATGTTACATCTTTTATTCATAGACAAGTTACTTTTGTTACTTCATCCGTTCATATTTATTTTATTGCTCAGGGTTTTGCCTCTTTCTTCTATACTTCTGTTTCTCAAATTACTATTATTATCATTATTATTATTATTATGATATATCCTTGTTAGCAACATCAGCATAAATAAAACAATGAGTAAAAAAACGTTTCGACTCATGAGACCAGATGTAGAAAATATTTTCATCAACCCATGTAGTATATTCAATCATATAAAGAAAATACGTGGACTGCTCATGATGACAGATAAAAGAAAAGAAAAATGATGTTACAAGTGCAACAAATGATTTGTGGTCGATAAGAAGACAAAAGAAATGATTTTGATGTCATATTTTATTTATCAACTATTTTTTTATTCTATAACAATAATAATAATGTTGAGATCGACATCACTTTATGAATCGAGAATTAGAGAAAAATCGTCATTATGTATCCAACCGTGGCAAACTCTGACATGTTTTTTCTTCCTAGGAAAGTGAAAGTTGACAAACTTTCTGCATCAGAGTTAACATATCGAACAAATAAGAAGTGTCAAAAGATGTTTTCGTGTTCTATAAGACAATCTTTCGATATTCTGTTGATAATTCCATTAACTTTCTCTCTCTCTCTCTTTCTCTCCTGCAGACTAAAAATATCCAAATGAGTTTCTTGTGACATAAACTGCATTTCTTTTTCTTTGGAAGTCTATAATTCTATGTCAACAATAGACGGGATGAAGAAAAAGTCGAAAAAATAAATAATGACTCTGTTAATACGGAAGATAATTAGATTATTTTGATACTAATGAAAAACAACAAAAATGATCTTATTCTATGCCTTTAAGATGATCAGATGATTGCAATTGATTCTTATTTGTTATGTATAGATCTATCTATGCGGTAAATATATAAAATATCTTTAAGCTATTTATGATAATATTCAATTTATAATTTCAAATTAATTGAATGCAGACGAAAATAATAGTTAACATTTGTAGAGCAAAAAAAAATGTTTAACCTTTTTTTTTTCTCGTAAGTTGACTGTTAACCTCCAAGCTCTGATATCATGTCCAATAAACAATTACGTTAGACAAAATTCATTCACTATGACATGTAATTAGTAATTATTTTTATGAGAAAAGTTTTCAATAGAAAATCAACATAAACCAGTGATACTTACCCACTCCTCTTGTTCTAATATATTTTCTATCACTCTCCACTTCACTTCTAATACCATCGGAAGCAACCAGAAATACGACATATTCACGACCTGGATCCAACGGTGAAACCATTATTGTACGCTCATTTGTAACATCATAAGTTTTCTTGTATATTGCTTGACCATCTAAAATATAGCAAAAATAAATTTATTTTTTATGATTTTATGTTTTCTTCTCTCCGCATCTGTACCTACCTTTATCATTTTCTTTGTAACGTGCAAAAAATACACTACCCGGCACGGCCATCATATCTGGATTGAATGATATATTAAAAAATGTATTGCCAACAGCCGATATAACAAATGAGGGTTTTGAGGGAACTAAAAACAGGATAAAAAGTTTCAAAAAACAACTTTTACAATTATTTACATTTTTTCAAAATACCTAAACTTTCATTTGTTGTTATTTCAATTATAGCTGGAGATAGTGATAAACCTCGAGATGTTCGCGCTTTTAATTGAATACGATATTTTGTATTCGGTTTTAAACCGCCTAATAAATAATTTCGACGAAATTCATCTCGTATATCAATTGACGGAAAATCAGCACCGGGTTGAGCGACAATACTAAAATAAACACAAAACTATTATACAATACGAAATATTACTAAATGATCGTTTTCAAATTGAATATCTTTTTTCAAAATAAATTTCTAGAGAAACAAAAACAGCGTTCACTCTTCTCTTTACTCACCTTTCAATTGTTTTATAATCAATTTGATAACCTTCAATATGTCCATTTGGTTCATCTGGTGCATCCCAAAATAAATAAATTCCATTGCCACTATAAGGCACTGCTCTTAAATTTGTTACGGGACCCGGTCGTCCTTCGGGTGTTGGAAATTGCACCTATTATAAAAAGAAATTTATAGATATAAACAAACGTGTTTTGTTTTTTTATGTTTGAATTTTTGACATACTGTTGGACTCGTTGGTCCAAGATATCGATCTGTTTCAATTCTAATTCTTGCTAAAACATCTGCATTTGGCGGTGCATTAAATATGGTGGCCAATGTTGAATTTGCTGGAATATTTTTAATAACACGTAAAGAATTATCGGGATCATCCAACCGAAACACTTCGATCTAAATAAATTACAAGATGAATTATTCAATGTGTACATAAGTGTCAATATAAAAATGTGCTTTTAAATGTTTAGTTAATATACATTTTAAAAACAAAAATCAAACGAATAAGAGAGCAAGACCTGATATCCTTTGAGAATGCCACGAATATTCGATTCATCTATTAGTATTGGTGGATCCCATGCAAACTGAACTGTTGTTTCGTCAAATACTTTTATAACACGAAAATTTCTTGGAATGTATGATGGTGCTAGAAAACAAAAAATACAAGTAAATAAATATCACATACCACTGTAATAAAATATAGATGTAAAGAGGCAATTCAGAAGCAAACACTGCTGCTGTTCTCTTATACACGCATATAATTACTTATTCTATTAAAACAAAACAAACAGATGCGTTAGACTACAATTTTCAACAGCATCTTCAATTTTTAACCACTCAGTTAGCTGTTGGAGATAATGTTTCAGTCATAGAGTTTCTGCATTTTAGTAATGTTAGTTATCTGTATCTTAGACGAGCTCTTCAAAAAACTCTAAAAGTGTAGATAGGATTGAAAATGTACGTTAACAATAAGGCCTGAAATGTGTAGTTTTATGTCTATTGAACACTTGTGACGTTCAATATACATAAAACTACACTGTGTTCTACACTGAAATGTCGGTGAACAACGTCTCATTCTTCTTCACTATAGTAACATCGATCGTGATGTGCTGATTGTTGTAAGATAATATACTAGTGATAATAATTACCAGAATCTCCAGAAAATGCCGTATAATAAGTGACGGGTTCATTTGCATCACCACCATTGGTTTCTACAGTTAAAAAAGAAAACAACTATTTGTTAATTAACATATTTCTATTTTATGATTTAATATATTACCTCCAGGTTGTTGATTGTAGGCTTTAACATAATATTGATATCGAACATTGCGAACAACATCTGGTACAACTAAGATATGTTGTGGAGGATTAATTCTTAACGTTATAAATGGACCTAACGGTTGTTGATCTAATCGCCTCCAACCAACTTCATACCAAAATTTTGGTGAGTTCCATTTTATTTCAGGCATTGCCTAAACAAGGAACGGAAATTTGATATTATAAGGTGTAGAGAATAAAAATGTATTTAAAAGACAAAAATGATACTTACATCCCATTCAATAGTCAAAAATGAAAATTGAGTTGTATAAGCTTTAACACCGATTGGATTTCGTTGTGGTCGACATGTTGTTGTTGTACACATTGCCTCACTTATTGGACTTGGATCACTCGTACCAACTCGATTGTAAGCAATAACACGAAACGTATAATTAGCCCAACACGACAAACTAACACGAATATCATTTTGATTTGATGGAAGATGAGTAGTCCGAATTACTAGAAAAAGTAAGAAAACAGTATAAAAAGAATGTTAAATTTAGTATTTTTTACTTGAGATTTTCGGCTCCAGTTTAATTGAACCATCTTCTGATCGAATTTCATTGTAGGATTCTCGTCTTAGTTCAATTGGTACGGATATCCAATCGTTTTGAGTAAATGTTGTATTGTATTGTAATTCATAGTAAAGGATACGAGCATTGTTATCACCTAAAAATGTACTCGAATACAACGGGTGTTGCAGAAAGAATGATGTGGTTTTTATTTTTGCTTTTTCTCCTCTCCCTTTGCACTCACAGAGAGCAGTTTTTACCAAACTATTCTCCATTAATTTCTCTATAAAATGGTCTATAGAAGATGATCCTAAGGTTTGAGACGCTGTCTTAATTGAACAAAAATCGAAATGTTCTAAAAACTTAAAAACTTAAAATTTTTTGAAAGAAGATCACAGGTGATTTCTTAGCACGTTTAGATGTCCCCTTTCAGATCGTGCACGATTCATTTCGTCCCCATCGGTCTGATGTGGTAAAAATAACTAGTTAATAATTAGCAGCCAGCCATTACTAAACAAAATACGCTAGTTTCAGCATCTCAAATATTTTCATAAAGTTACATCAAGCGTTTCACATGTGAGTCGAGTAGACTAAACATTTGTCTTCAAAATGACGCAAGAATGAGTCTGAGTGATTCAGTTTTGACTAGCACTGTATCTTTTACAAATAGCTCCAAAATACAGATTGAAAAAGCTGAAAAACGGTCATAGGACTTTTGCAACGAAAACGAATTTAATTATTCAACTCTCTAGGTAGATATAAACTTTCTGCATCTCACCAGTTGCTTCCCAATTAACAATTGCAAATGGTTGACCAAAACTATTTTGTGTTGTTCCACTGCAATTCACCCTTGTTATTCTCGGTCTGTTTGGCCTGTCTTGAACGACAAGTGTTGCACTAGCATCATCGGAATCCAGTTCTGTACTTGCACGACAGATATAGGAGCCACCATCATCAAATTGAACATCAACAATTTTTAACGTATTTTGATCAGCGGTATCCTTAATAAATCGACCTAGAAAAGTAATAAAAGGGCAATATGTACTACTCTTCTTATTGAAGGTCGAGAAAATTGAACTATATTCACACTCCATTTCACAGAAGCGAATTATATATTCTGTGATTCTAAGCTTAGCCAGTTTTCGTTAAAATTTAAGCGAACAACGGCATAGTAGTGACACATTATGATGGCAGGACGCATCAGATGCAATAAAACTAACAGTTTTAAACCATAATGAATCGCACATATAGTTTGCTTACCGGTATAAGCTAATAACCTTCCATCTTTGTACCAATCAATATCGTAGGTTAAACTAGCATCAGCTATAGCCGTACAACGAAATATCGCATAATAACCCCTTCTAACCTCTTGACTACCCGGACTGGTTTGTATACGAGTTTTTCGTTTCACATTTAATGTTCCACTGCTACTGTCAAAACCGTATTTGTTTGTAGCATTGCACGTATAAATACCACTGTCACTGGCGGATGCTTCTCGAATCAATAAACTACCATCTTCAAGTATAGCATACCTAAATTAATCAAAATATTCAATTCGTTTAACGTGAAATACTTAGCAAGACAAATTATTACAGCGATTTACTCTTATTCAACATGCTATTAAAAAGAGCGAAAAGTGTTTTTCTTTACAAAAAGTCAGTAGAAACCTAGAATACTCTTTAAAATTTTAATTTAAAAGTATCTGCGACTGCTGATGATACATAATACATTACGATTTCTGTTTAACTCGAAAAACTTAAATAGCATATGCAGGCGAAGATGGCAACGATCATTGCTATTAGTCTCTTTATAAAAATAGTTTATCGCTTCTATTGATTATTATTCTCTTGCAAATGCAGCGAGTAACATGCACAAGAAAAAAACATGCTGAGCTCATCACTAGAAATCAATAAGATCGAACAAAAACCTATTCAACTTGTCTTAGGAACCTTAGATAATATTATAAATTAGTTTAGTATTATCTTTTTGAGCAAACAAAAATGAGACTAACTACTATTGGCAAAAAAAACATTTTGAAATTAAGAAGACCATACCAAATGAGTGAAAACACTAAATAAAAAACACACATAAAGAACGATTATGAAGTGAACTACGTTGGTGAAAAAAGCAACACAACGTTTCGAACTCACAACAGTTATCTGACGAGAAATTTGTGGATCAAATGAAGAATACTCCTCGCTACAAAGTTAAATACAATACCTTCTATTAATCTCAAAAAATTGAATATAGTTTATTTTCACATCAATTTTTACCTTCCTCCTGTAATAACTTGATCTCGTTTGTACCAATAGACTTTGGGTGTAGGTGCTCCAAATGTTTCACACTCTAATGTGACATCGGCTCCTTCAACAACACGTAGCAATGGTTGTGGCCCTTTTTGAATTTCTGGTGGTTCAGCTATAAACAAAGAGAAACAATTAAACAAAATTTAAGCAATCGTTTATTGTACTTACAAATAACATTGACAAAAAAATTTGCAAATTGGTAACCATGAATATTAGTCACGTTGCACTGATAAACTGCTGTATCTAATTTGGTGACATTTTGTATTACTAGACGATTTTTAATTACTTTACGTCGAGGATTACGTAACACAGTTGGATCTAATAATGGTACACCATTTCGAAACCATTGAACAGGTCCTGGTGGTGGTTTAGCTTCAGCATCACACACAAACTCAACCGTTTCACCTAATAAAAATAATAAAATGAGTTCATATTGACATCTGATATAAATTCCTTCGTACCTTCTGTAACATGAACATCTTTTGGTTTTACTTTCCAATATGGTTGAGATTCAATACGAACATTAATACTAAATACTTCAGCGCCAAGTTCTAGAAGAAGAAATAAGATTTAATCTAGATGGTGATTCCGTGTCTGTGTCAGATCGAATATAAAATGTAAAATAATCAAAATATTTTATATGCTATAAAGTGTAGTTATTATACTATCATATTTAAGTTTTTTCATCATTAAAAATGAATAGCTTGTTTAAAAAATAGTCAATAAAAACAACCATTAAAATTCAATATAATTACCATTTACTCCTCGACATTCATATACACCGGCATCTTCAAATGTCAAATCACTGATTGTTAATTCTAGTTTTTCCATTGTTAACGATGAACGTCGATCAGAAAATCCTGATCCAGTAGCATTTAATTTTCGCCAAATTACTTGAGGTGTTGGTAAACCACCAAAAATACATTTTAATGTCATTTTGTATCCTAAAATACATAGAAAGAAATAGTGTCTTTTATATCAAATATGACAGCAGATTTAACATTGAAAATTGCTTAAATTATATATTTTCTTGGTGTTTTTTTTAAACACGAACGTTCGTACCTCTTAGAAATACTTTATTTGCTTCCGATGACCATAAACGTTTTGGTTTCCAAAGAGATGCATCTGTTTTAATGACTTTTATCTGTGTTAATTGACCACGTCGAATAACATTTAATTTTTTACTAAATACATTACAGATATATTGACGTTGTTCATCTTCATCTAGGACATTTAAAAAATAGAGACGACCTAGAAAAAAAAACAAAGACAAAAAAATAAAATTTGAAACGATATTTCATTTTTAAATAAAATTTCTAATTCTGACTTAAATGTCAAACTATAAAAGTCTTTGGCAGATAATATTCTCTAGTAATTTAAGTGAAAAGTAAAGTTTTATAACAAACAAATATATGAATACAATTACAAACCATAATAATCTTGTTGTATTCTTGCATTTGACACAATGAAACCAAATTGATCACCAACATTTGAATTATCTGTCCAATAGGTTTCAGGATCTGGAACACCTGTGGGTGGTTGGCACGGTAATATAGCAGATCTACCACGTTCAACAGTTATTATATTTGGTCTATCGCCCGTTATTGGAAAACCGCCCAATTCTAGAATAGAAGAAGTTTACAGTCTGCTCAAGGTTTGTTTGCAAGAAATCTTCAAATTTCAATTCTTTCGTTATATATGAATAGTTTGATAGTTTTCTATCATTTTTAAGAGTAGATCTTTTATTTTACTGCGCATTTACAAAGAAGTAAGTTAACATGTATTTACAGATTCCAAAAATCTTTGAGAAAAAAAAAGAATTTGTTTACCGTATCTTTTAACTTATTTATTTTATGTTTGATCATTCTTAGCTATCTTCAATGGTACAAACCTGCTAATCTGACTCTGACTTTCTTTGATACAGCTGTTCCATATTGATTGGTCGCATTGCATTGATACCATCCTTGATCAATAGATTGTGCTTGTGTAAATATCAATGTTCCACTATCACTTGCCATAGCTACACGGTTATTTTGAGCACTTGGCTCATAAAATCGTCCATCTTTTGTCCAAGTATAACTAGAAACACGAAAAAAACAAATAATAATAAAAGATTCTATTATAAAACATGTATAATCATTTATTTAAGAGTAGAAAATTAAATTGAGACGTACACAGGAGCTGGACTTCCTTTTCCTTGACATATTAATTCAATATTAACACGGGGATCAAATATAACTTCAGGATCAGGTTCACTGGTTATAGTTGGTGGCATAGGAACTAAAGATAAAATAAAAAATAATTTCTTATTAAATATATTTTGAATATTGAGATATACTTACTGCCATGGACAACAACATAAATAACCGAAAATAAGACATAATTATGTACAATATTACAAAATAAATTTGGCATGATTTAATCACATATAGTCTTGCAATAGATTTTTTAATTAAAGAAATGGTTTTATGAGACAGAAGAACAAACTAGACAGAAATCTATACATTGTGTTTCAAGAATAAAAAAAAAGCTGTTTTTATCTAAAAATAGCGAGAATAAACAAATTTATGATTTTTTTACTGATATCTTAAAATAGAAATTATTTTATGGATAAACAGGAAATCAATATCGATCGTTTATATAATTCGATTAAAAAAGAAAAAAGAAAAAAAAAATTCGTTAATTATTGATCAAACAGAATGAAGTATCACGTTCAACTTCAGAAACTAACAGTATTCATCTTTTTACCTTCTTCAAAACTTTATTTTTTTTCTAAATCTAGGAAATGCAACACGTAACCAGTTTTTCTTTTTGATGATTCAAAATTACTTTTATTTTTACAGCATATTTTTCTTAACTATCAAGATGCTATACATTTTCTTCATGTTACAAGAGTCGCTTTCAGTATGATCCAGTAAAACAGTATTTACTTAAAACTTCATGATTACTTTCCGTTGCATAATTACATCAATCCGCTATTTATCTTCAAATAGACGCATGTACTAAAGTCTACAAAAAAAAAGATAATACTTAAGTTCAGTCTGTATACACTTATTAGTTTATAAAGATGTATTCTCGATCTTAGAAAACAATGTTCAAAATAATATTATATTACGTTTTCATTTTGATACATTGTTTTCAGTAATCAAAAGTTTCTATATGCATAAAAATGATTATAAATATTTTTCTAATACGATAAGACAGTTCGTTTTTCAAGATTTATTGGAAATGAAATAAACCAATAATATATAAATAAACAAACGTGGACCGGATTGTTTTGTTCATGTGGCCTAATGCTTTCTGTTGTTGTTTTTTTTGTGTTTGTCGAATATTCAAAAGTTGTGAACAATCAAATTTTGAAAATTTCGTTTCACGTTCAAGTAAGAAGAAAGACATAGTTCTCTTTCGTTCTGCTTTCTCCGCTATTTAGATCAGAATTGTATCGTCAATCTTGCTATACAATACAGGTAAAGCAACGTTCGTTTGTTCTGTTCTGTCAAGGTAAAAATCGAACTTATACGGCAGAGAAATGCATTCAACCAAGAAAAAAACCAAAAAAAGAATTTTTTTTTCTCTCTTACTTCTTTCCTTTCTCTTGCCCGATCACTAATCACACATCCGTTTATTAAAATTGTATGTGACGAAGGCATAAATCAACGAAAATATAATCACCTTCTTTTTTTAGACATTGAGTACAACACAAAATAGAAAAAAACCAAATCTTTTTTCAGTAAAATCATAGTTTGGAACAAATTATAGAAGAGCAGAAGTGAACTCTAATCGATAAAAAGTTTTTCAACTAATTTCATCGTAAGAAAAATTAATTAGCGATCTAAATATTTTAGTTAAAGAAAGAACGATGGTGAGTGAAAAACTATAAATAAGAAGAAGTCCGTATAATAAGATGCAGGAATAGTTACCACGTTCGTTAACTTCTTTCATATGCAAGGTACATACATTAAAACGTCTGTTCAGAAGTTTATTTTATATTTTGTCACCGTTTCTATTATGGGGTTGGTCGGCTAACTTGCTTTTCAATTTCATTATTATTTCCGTCAAAAATATCTTGAAAACAGATTAAGCAATCTTTTACATGTTAACGACAAAGCACATCTCTTTTTCTACCATTATTTTCTCACTAATATTACATATGTAAAAAAAAAAAACACAAATATATATATCATAGAGTGAATAGATGTGTCAATTCTCGAAATATATAAAGAAGAAAATGTTTCGTAAAATATAGACAAAATTTAGATCCTAGACGAGAAATTTTTTCTTTGAAAAAGGTTTGTGTGTTCATTTGCAAGAGAAAAAAAAAAGAAGAAAAAAATCAAAAGTGTCAATATGAAAATTTTTGTTATTATAATATATATAATTTAAATATACAAAAAGTGTAAATATCTTTTATTTCAAAGTATATACACATAACGATGTTTATTTCTACTGAATACGCTATGCTACATAGAAAAACCTGATTAAGAGACTACCGTATCAAAATGACAATTTAAACAATTGAGAATACGTACTAATTTAGACTTAATGTACTGTATCTGTGAATACGAGAAAAAAAAAATCTCTTATTTTTTATTTATATCGTTATAATTTATCTATAAAAAACTTCTAACAAAATCAATTACGAAAGTTGAGCTTAGAATTATGGATCGTTATGAGTATTCTATGTCTCGTTAGTGATGGCAACATCTGATCTAAAGAGGATAGTAGTCCTTCTACTACGAATTTTTTGCAGTAGACTTTTATCTCTCTCAAAACAAAAATTTTTGATGTCAACGTCTGTCTCCTCAAAAAAAAAAAAAAATTCTGATATCACTACCAGTTTTAACTCCAAAACAAAGATCTCAACTGAAAATCAATCAACAACAATTAATATGAAAACCGTCTAAAATTAGGAAAAAAAAATGTTATTTGTTGAAAGAATCATTTATCACTATCAGCAGATTAATCATTGTTTTGTTTGCGACATGTTTTATTCTAGTCTGGATAAAAATGTCGATGTATATAGTATTTACTTTGTAAATGAGTTGATCGGAACGATTATCTGAAAGAGATAAGTCTCTTGAAAATAAAAATAATATTTTCTAACTAGAAAAAAAAACTAATAAATACGTATGTGATGAAAAGTGTACAAAAAAAAATGAGTCAGAATAAATTTCTATACACGTCAAAAGAGGTGGAAGGTAAAAAATAAAGAAACAAGCAAGACATTTTTTGTTGCCAAGTAGTCGGATATTTAGATATATTATATTTTTATGAAACATAATGGATCCTATTTCATGACGATCAGACATTTATCAGAAATATATTTGTATGTGTGTATCCTCAATATAGATTTGTAGTAAAATTTCTACAAATAAGAATCATTGTCAGATCACGTTAAAATTAGAAAAAAACAACAGATATTCGTTGAAAAACTAATAATGACAACAAAAAGTTATTCGAAAGATAACTAGTTTTCTAAGTGTTTTTTTTTTTAAGATGGTTCATATTTATTTAGAAAATTGCACGTACTAAATAAATATGAACCATTCTAAACGTAATAACAAAAAATTTATCAATATCTAGAAGTATGATCATTAATATTTTAGACGAATGATAATAACGATCGTCATCGAGTTTTTGAAAAATATTCTCAGATGAATTATTTTTATTTTAGAATAATCAGAAACAATTTAGAAATATGTCTTTTTCTTAAAGAAGTGAGAATAAAGAGACCAAGACGTCTGACTGAACACTAAAACATTTCACAATCTAAGTTTAGAAATATTAAAATGACTTTTATCTACAATTATGTCACGCGAACTCTTTCAGTATAATAAATACTGACTTAAAGTATACTCGAAAATTATAACTTTTTAATTTTACGAAACAAAATAGACGTGTACTTATTTCAGAACAATACACCATCGTTACTCGGAAATCTTGCAGTATATTTGAGTGACGTTCACATATTGTAATCAGCCGTATGTAACATCGGCTATTACCGCCACTAGATAGTCAATGTTTCAAACGATAAAGTGTACTAATACTATGAAAAATAAGGAGACACTTTGCTTTATACTTTGGAAAAAAATATATCACTGACAGAAAAATAAAGTTCATGTAGAGTTGCGGAAGTGCTTTTTCATATTCAGCATACTTGATGACCCAGAAGATTTTGTATTTTTAGCGAGAGATACTGCCAAAAGTTTAGGAAAATTTCCCCATGGAAAAATAATATTAGTTTCAAAATTTTTCCTAAACTTTTGGCAGTACCTCTCGCCATAAATAGAAAATCTTCTGGGTTATCAAGTATACTGAATGCAAAAAAGCACTTTTCTGCGAGTCTGCCTGAACTTTATTTTTTTCTTCACATTCATAAGCATAGCGTATCTTGTACATTTTGAAGTACAACAACAAAATCTTTTATTAATTAAAGTAAAAACTAATAAGACTAAGGCTAACTAAGACTAGTTTATTCACGAAAGGTGAGAGTCATCAAAGGTTCCCGACCTTCAATATCAATGACTCGAGTCAAACTACAAAAATGAAATACGGAAAAAGAAATAACAGGAATAAACAGAAGAAAAAAAAACTAGAGTATGTAACGTCGAGATAAAGTAACAACGAAAATAAACACAAATAAAATAATGTTAAAGAGAACAACTAATTGTTCTTAACTTATCAATAGTACACATGAGTCATTTTCATTTATTTTAGAGATCAAATAGATTGTAACGATTTTTGAAGCACATACGCATGATTTTTGTCAATTTAGCTCTGACACTGTGTCTCTATCTGCATTTAGACAAAAATTACTAGTAAAAAAATTTATTTCTCATGTGCCCATAAATTTGCTGATCGACAGTGCAATGACCGATTCAATGCTATGATCCAACGTTTCGACTCCTCTGGTGATGTAAATCCTCAGAAAAACGTAAACTCATGAGATGATTATAATAATCAAACAGTCCCAATGGTATTTCTTGTGTGTAGAGAAAAAAATCAAGAGAACATTCTATTAAAGTTCTCTAGTAAGTATGTTTTTCTAATATGATTTTTACTTCATGGAAAGAAATGCTGATTAACAAGGAAGAGATAGAAAAACTAAGTGATTCTTGCGCAGAAAAAACAGCAAAAACGCAAATGTCTTAAGATAAAAATCTATAAAACGGGAATATATAATTTATTCACTTGAACTTTAACGATTTTTTGAGTGAATGATTCAGATACACACGGATTGGCTATAAGTCGCCATCGACGTTGAGAAAGAGAATCTACAGACGTTTCATATGTTTATCTGTTTGTAGTGCATAGTCTCGCAAAGAAAACGTATAAAGTCTTTTTCTATCGCTTCTATACCGATAAAAGATCAAATAAATGATGCCGATAACCACATTCAGTGGCGCGAAAAATTGCAAAATACAGTTCTACTATCATAAGGTAAAAAAATACACGGATCAAGTGTGAAATTCTACGGATGAAGTGTAGGACCATGGCCGGCGGAAGGGGCGGGCGACCGCCCGGGGCACTACAAAGCAAGGGGCCCCGGAGGCGTCTTGGTAATATAATTGTGTAATAAAGTTATTTTTTGTTTTTTTTTCAGGAAGGTGTGGGAGCGCAAAAATAAATTTTCACCCAGTATCATAATTTTGCTGGCGCCGGCCCTGTGTAGGACGATCACGAATTAGAATTTTGACCGCAAATGAAGCATGATAATGCTACACGTCGTCCGTAGAATTTTACATTTCAAATGTATGCTTTTTTTTTACTACGATTCAAGCGTTAGAAGATAGATGCCATCGTGTTTCTTTTGGTCTATGTTGAAGGTCTAACTTCTAATTAACCGTTTTTTTATACGGTCTGACTTGCATCAACTGTTTCAGTTATTAGGCAAATATCAAAGGGTTTAACAAATTCTTAAACTATAACAAAATTAGTCGTTTTTGTCTAAAGATTTCTTGTCTAGGTCTGAGTAATTTTTCCTTTTTTCCTTTTATTTTCTTACACATTTATCGAATAATAAATAATATTTTCTATTTTTCTATTTGGATTTTTCAGTTTTACTTTTGATCTTTGGTAAGTGAAAAGACCTTACGGTGTCAGAAGCAGGAAAAGTTGGCAAATGACAATGTACTAAGTATTGCAAGTTTTTATTCTCTTTTCCTCAGAAAGGCTTTTCAGTGTAAAATTATCTCTTGGCAGTGAGAATATTCTAAGTTAAGAAGAACCCGAAGTAAACATGAAGTTCTTGTGAAGAAACATGGATTTCTTGACGAGAAAACACGAAGTTCTTGTAGAAGAACGTCGATTTCTGCAGGAGAAAAGATAATGTTCTTGAGGAGAAAGATCGATTGTTTCACGAGAAGACACGAAGTTCTTGCGCAGAAACATCGGCTTCTTCAGGGGAAAACATGTAGTTGTTGTGGAGAAAGATCGATTTCTTGATCAGAAAATATAAAGTTTTTGGGGAGAAACATCGCTTTCTTCACGAGAAAACGTGAAGTTCTTGCCGAGAAACATCGATTGTTTCACGAGAAGACACGAAGTTCTTGAAGAGAAACATCGCTGTGTTCAGGAGAAAGAATGAAGTTCAGGTGGACAAACATGGATTTCTTGACGAGAAAACACGAAGTTCTTGTGAAGAAACATCGATTTTTTGACGAGAAGACATAAAGTTCTTGCGGAGAAACATCGATTTCTTCAGGAGAAAGTATGAAATTCAGGTGAAACGTGAATGAAGAAAGTGTGTTTTTTCGGGATCTTGGCTGCAGTTTCTCTATGGGGAAACATTTTGGAACGAAAATGTGAGTGTGGAAGTTGTTTATTGAATCGAATGGACGTGTCGAAGATAGAAAAAATATAAAGATTTTTAGGGCCGGTTTTCAGAGCCCCGAAGCGCAAAATTGTTCAGGACCTTGAACCAAATTTCGCGCGCGAAGGAAGCATTTTCAAGAAAAAGTGTGGGTAGAAATGTTGTTCAGAATTAGATTCTCTGGACTGTACCCACACTTTTCCTTGAAAATGCTTCCTTCGAGCGAAATTTGGTTCAAGGTGTTGTAAAAATACTTTTAGCTTCAAAACTACATAGGGCAGGTCAAAGCGGAATAACTTAGTCAAAACTTGACCCAGTTTTAGTATAAATACATCTTATGTCCTCTATCGATAGACAACAAAATCCAGGTTACAGAAATTTGAAAATTTTATTGAAAAATTTAAAAAAAAGGTGCAAAAAATCGAGGAAACATCGAGGAAAAACAAACACAACAAAAATCCGGTGATCAAAAACTTTTATCGTATGTATTTCAAATTGTTGTACGCTCTGTGTGGACCTGATCTTTTGAATGTTTTTAAGCTTTGAAGCTTTGCTAACTCAAAACGACCAGATGGAAGCTTGTTAAACAGAAAATCTGTTGAATATTCGTTGCTTTCGAATCTTTCGCCTTCTCTGAGCTGCAGGCATCCCGGTTTATCAACGCCCATCATGAGTGCCAGTATAGTTGGCATCTACTATTCATTTCAAAATATAAGAGTCCTGGTTATTTTTTGAATAACTCAGAATGGAAAGTGATATCGACTTGCGGTTTTCACTAATAGATAACAGAAAGATTACAGCTGAAGAATTCTGAAATAAAATGTTGCCTCTTTCTGTAATCATACTTAATTTCACTTACTAACATATATGTAGAGCCCTCCACAGAATAGAAAGCCATCCGCGAAACATTTCTCTAAAATCCATATTAGATGGTCATGATCAACTGCGCCGTTTTTGGCAAAAATACTTCTAAAAAACCTTCAAATTATACCTATGTCTATGTACTATGAGTTTCAGGTTTTGTAGACACTTTCTTCTGGCTCACAAGAAAAGAGAAAGTATCATCAAAATTTGAACGACTTTGTCAAACGAACTGCGTTTCTGGTCATTAATTTTGTTGAAAAAGAGAAAAACGGAGCGATTATTCCGTTGTTTAATGTAAACGAGAGCGACTCGAAACAATGCTTGGAATATCAAAAGCCTTGGTAAAATGGTCAAAAAGTGAATTAAAAGAATTTCAAAAAGATCAAGAAGAGTCGACGCGAGATCGTCGAACATCAGAAGCCTCATTCACATCATCGATCACAGCAGGATTGCTTGGTCGGGATTAAAAAATTATGTACGATCGAACTACGTTCCATTTAATTTGAATGATGTTACACAGTTATGTAATGAATGGCTCTCAGCTTGTGATGCTGAATATGCTTCTGCCTCTTTTAAACATGCTCAAAAGTATGAAGAGTTATTTAAATTAGCTGATCAAAATGTGGAAGAACTGGAAAATGACTTGGTCGATGAAGATAATACTGATAATTTTCAATTAGATGATAATCCAGACGATTAGGTTCCGATGTTTTATGATATTTATGCAAAAATGGTCACACAAACATGTAGACACTTTCTTCTGGCTTAGAAGAAAAGAGAAAGTATCGTCAAAATTTGAACGCCTTGTGCAAGTGCAGCATCTCAGTATTTTCAATTTTAAAGATTGACCTGAAGAAACTTAGCGTCAGCAAAGTACTATCCCATAGAAAACAAGATCTTGGTAGATCGGTCCCTGTCTCGCGATTTCTTAATGATTCATACTCAAACCAGATCGTCCTCTGGCACTATATCTATTTTAATTATCTACTGTGCGCGTATGAGTAGTCATGAGATAAATAGATTTCAAAACATACGGAAAAAAATATGCTATTTCCAAAATAGCTCAACAAATACAGATCAGTTAAATTTCTGTCTCATGAAAGGGCACATCTACACAATATACCAAATATAAAGTGTGAAGGAACCATCTTGATCAGATGTACCATTGATAGAGAAGTTTGCTTATTTGCTTACATTGATAGAGAACAAAGCTTATTTAAATTTATCTTGGCTCATTTATAAAAGATCACATATACTGATAGCTTAACCTCTGTTCGAGCTATAGCTAGCTATAGCTGCGAGACAGAGTAAAAGCATGATAAACAACTTCCACACTCACATTTTCGCTCCAAAATGTTTCCCCTTAGAGAAACTGTAGCTGTGAAATGCCGGACCATTAGGAATTAAGAGGTCTTTAGATCCTATTTTGTACAGGCCATTTTGAACTACCTTTTCATGAAAAAGTCGTATGTAAAATTGTTCGATTACGAGCTGATTTCCCAAAGACCTCCTAAAAATCGGATTTTGAAAATTTTTCAAAAATAGCTTTTGCTTAGGAAAAGCTGCTTTAATGTTTCAGCTATCGATTAGTGAAAACCGCAAGTCGATATCACTTTCCATTCCCGAGTTATTCAAAAAATAACCAGGGCTCTTATATTTTGAAATGGATAGTAATTTCTATCGATTTGAGATAATGCAATTGGTTGTGATGAAAGAATCAATTACACTATTCTACGTTCGATGTTGAGAGTAAACGGCAAACCATTCTCTCATTTATTGAATAAAGAAAATTCTAGCAAACATCAGAAGCACGGGGACATAATTCATAGGTGATGAAATCGAACGTAGCTATGCCACTCAAAGCTGTCATACAACCGTGGTATGTTCTGGTCAGAGTCTATAATTAGATATTATCAACAGTTCTGAATCATAAAACTCGATCAGACCTTGCAGACAAGAAATTTTCTCAAGAAAACTAACTGACAAAAGTTAACTGACGAGCTAATCGACAGAAGGGATAATAGCGAAGATGGATCATACCCTCTACTTCAAACACCACTTTTCGCTGCGAAAATTCCGAGAGCCAATAAAATTTTGAAAACATGCATAATTTGAAGGTCTTTTAGAAGTATTTTTGTCAAAAATGGTACAATCGGTCATGGCCTTCTAATATGGATTTTACAGAAATGTTTCACGGATGGCCTTCTATTCCGGGGAGAGCTTTACATACTATGTTAGTAAGTGAAATTAAGTATGATTACAGAAAGCGGCTACGTTTTATTTCAGAAGCAAGTTATTTGTATGCTGTTATGTCGATTAATCTTTAAGAACCGGAGAAGTTACGAAAAAGACTATGCATTGCATTTCACAGATCGACGAAACCGACAAGCTTTCTTTCTTACAGCTACTCTTCTTTTCTTATCAAGTGAAATCTTTCAGATTTATGCTTTATTTCTTACTAGTGATAAATCGCTACTTCTCGTTCATACAACCATCGGTAAGCTTTGTCTTGTCAAATTATCTGGGTATCTATTATCACATATACTTTAATAAACCGTTTTAGAAAATAATTGTTTAGTATTTTTTTTTGATTCACCATCATAAATAGAAACAGAAAAATTTGATCATAAAAATTTGATACACTTCGTGACCTGATCCTGTAACAGATTAAAAAGCGTCCAAATACAAGAGAAAAAAGATTTTAGTATTTTATAGATAATATTTAGTTTAATATAATGTTAGTACAAAAATAGACTATAAAAAGAACAATTTAAACTGCATCTAATGATGAAATAATTCTTCAAGCGCATTATCAAACACCAGTATATCACTCATTTGAGCAAACCATACTCTATCAAAATATTTATCAATTATTGTATAATAAGATTCGGGCGCCTAAAAAGAAAAGAAATACAAAACTGTGACAGTGGTAGAATCGTTGAATGAGAAAGACAATACGATTATCCAATGAAGTTTACAGATTTTGTTGACATCTGATTATCTATAATGAAGAATAATTCCAAAGTTTTAGATACAAATAATGCAAATATAAAATATTTTTCGTATCTTAACAAAATAGAAAGGTATGCTAAGTTATGAGATCGACAAAGAGTACCAGAAAATGAAATGAGAAGATGAAATTTAGCATTTGACTTATTGTTCTGGTAAATACGATATGAATTTACCAGAGCCAAACGATCTGAACTGTTAGAAAAGGAAAATTTAAAAATATCTGTAGGGTGACTTCAGTCAAATGCTCATCAAAAGCACTTGAGTCAGACATCATTCGATGTAACTTTGCATGGTACTTATATTGTATAGTACCACGATGTATGAATAGTATTTTGATATCGCTTAGAATACTTTGCAGAAATGGAAAACACAATACTAAACGATAAGGTAATATGTAGTAGTACTCCAGCCCATATCGGAAAAAACATAATTCGCTTTTTCGATCTTATGATAAATTTTTATCAGTAAAATAAGCAGAATGTTTTCTATCATTTCGATTCCAAGGAAAATGTATCGTTCACTAACACTCTGCTTTGTGAAATATTCTGTTTGCTTACAGTAATGAGTCTATAAAATGTGCAGTACCTCCTATGCATTGAAAATATAATACTCCAGTACGAAAAACTCGAGAATGTATAGCCGGACTAGGAGAAAAAGTAACATTTCTCTGACGATCGGCGTATTTGAAAACCTACATATTGATGTTAATTAGTCGTTTCCCCGACACAAACCATTTTTAATTAACGCGTTTTTTGAGTGTAAAGCCTGGCATCAATATCCAAAACAGATGAACTTCATTGGATAATCGTGGCATCTTTCTCATTCAATGATTCCTACTGTATCCGACGGTTATTCTGTAGGATTTTTATACTTACAGTACTTTTCATTTGAGATAACCGCCATAGTAATCGTCCGTTGATGCCAGAAAGAGCACGTTCCATGCTAGAATAAACATGTAGAAGACTATTATCGGAAGAATACGTATATGCGTAAACTCACTTTGTTAAACCAATTTGAGCTAACCAACGACGTACAGTTGACACATCCCATTCTATCACATCATTTTTATCTGGTGTTGCGTTATTAACAATCTTCTGATGATTTTTGCTAGATGAGTCTTTAAAAGCTTAACATGTACAAAAGAAAGATATTTTTCTTTAATCATTCGATCTCACCCTCAGTAATTTTATTTTCGAGTGTATTTGGGACTATAGGAGGTATCAGATCTTGTCGGATCGTTTCAATTTCACGGATTAATATAGCAAAAGCTTCTTCAAATGGATATGTAGCGAAATCCACCTACAAGCATATTCAAATCTAGCATTAAGTGGCAAATATAAGTTAAGGCCCCAAAACGTTGAACGAAGCAAAATTATGGAAATTTTCAGGAAAAATAGCAAAGAGTTGTGCATTTGGGGTCTTTCGTACATTGAATGTAGTTCAATGAAGGAAGTTTGATGAAGAAGTCGGAGACGTCTCATTTTGTTCACAAATGTTTGCTCTACAAGACTGAGTTGTTTGGAAAAGGTTTTCGATTAAATCCAGAGATCTGGATCTGGGAGTCTTCGTTTTCCAGAGCCCGAGTGTCTCCGAATTTTCATGAAATGTTAGTACACAGCCCTCCTGATAGGAGATCTTTCAGCTACTCAAATCAATTTTCAAGTGTGTTCTAGCTATTACTGTCGAGGAAAAAAGTCAAAAAGACAAGTACCTTAAACTTCTGTCTCTCACTTTAATATGACGAGGTGATATTTCAAATAAATAGCTTACATGAATTTTTGCGCCCTTGATGATGCCTAACCATCCATATGGACGAAATCGAGGTTGCATTAAACATGGTATACAAGGTTTTCGAAGTTCAGTGGCATATTCTTTTTGAAATTAAAAATCAACCACCAGTTATATGATGCTAATGAGACAATGCAAAGATAAATACCTGCTTCTGAAAAGAAGCAAAAAACAATTATTTCATCATTGAATCAAGAGAAGAACAGGATGAAACACAAACCTAATCGACAGTAATAACTTTGTTTATAATTTTCATTCATACAAATTAGTACAACCGAGGATTTTTCTACAGCTTCGGCCATTGATTCAAGAACACCTCCATTAATATTGTCGATATCCATCCAAACATTATAATGTAAAGCCTAATCTACGAACAAATGGTTAGGCAAACAACAGAATTGATCATATTGTCTCTACATACTGAAGCAGTAGACAATCTTATTGAGACTGATGTGGAAAAAGTGCATTTAGTTTACCTTTAAACGATCTCGCATTTTAATACACATGGCTGTGCACGATCTGTTATAACTAATCATAATATGACCTTGAAAACCACGGTTTTGAATCGACGACATTCCTATAAACGAATTAAAACAAATTATTATATTTCCACTCTTTTCTGTTGTTTTTAAAATAATAATTACGTCGATGTGGAGTTTTATTAAGTGTCCAAAGAATAGCTTCACAGTTTTTCTGAACTAATAAACTTTGTGCCGAATCTCTAGTATTCGTTATAATATCAACTGTATGATCTGAATTAAGTAATAATTGCACCTAAATAATTATACTATTAGTTTAATTATATAAGTTAAAATATCAATCAACAAATCATACTTTTTCATCAAATGATGCGCTACAATACAAAACAAAAGCTATTACACTATTAAATTACAAAAATAATTTGTGCATACTTGAGTATAGCACTCGATACACATTCCAGAAGACTTTCGTCGGCTTTACTATTATCCATTATATCCAATAAAAAATTTACTAAACTTTTATCAATATATTTATGTGTTCGACCTTTAACCATTATTTTTGATAAACCGTCAACTAATTCGACAAATGAAAATCCATAAAAACGTTGATCCGTTTTTTTATACATATGTATTAAACTGGTTAATAAAGGTAATACTTCTAAAATAAAGAAGAAATAACTGTAGTACATATAAAACTTAATTAAACAATATACCATTAGCTTGAGCGAGTAAATTATCTTCATCTTCATTCATAATTAATGGTAATATAAGACAAGAAGTGACACGAATAGCACTAATAATGTCTTGTAATTCATTTAATGTTGACACATATTCTTTATTTTCAGGCGTCTCTTCAAATGCAATAGAAACAGTATCCGATTTTAATTTTGTATATTCAACTATCGTCTAAAAATATGTAGTACGAATAGAATAAATTACTATTCAAATTTAAACAGATACTAACTATGACAGCATTACATTCACGAAATTGAATTTTCAATTCTGGCATATTTGCTATATTATACAAAATAGTTAAGGCTGAATCAACGACCCATAAGATTTTCTAAACATAAATAATCGTTCGAAATGACGAAGTACAACTTTTTCTCTCTGATATTTGCCTGATAATTATTAAAATCATCACTTCTAATAACTTTTGCTGGATTTTCGATTATATAAGCTTTTTTTAATGATTCACTATATGATTGATCACTCAAAATTTCAAGGGCAAATTCAATAAATCCAGCTTCTGCTGCTTGCTTCAATAAACAAAAAAAAGGATTACATTTCAATAAAATAAAAATAAGAAAAATTCATTGTACATACTTTTCTTATAAGACCTTCTTTATCAAATTCCCCGTCTGTAAAATTGGCCATGCAATTGTACAATAAAATACTGTGTACAAAAACAATTCGTCGAACCAATATTCCTTTTTCTTTGTAGGCTCTCATTAATGTCATTGCCATTGCTGAAATATTAATTTGAATTTGTTACATATCGTAAGCACAGTTTCAAAAACAGTGAAAATTGAATATTATATTACCTGGAAACTTTTTCTCTGATAATTTTAACTTGGCTCCAGATACCCATTCTCTTGGTTGATGAATAAGATTTTCTAAAAATTTTAATTGTTTTAATACTTTTTGACTTTCATATTGTTCTCGATTCATTCCACTAAGCATATCTAAAGTATCTTCCAACTACAATAGATATAGTAGAGAAGAACATAATACAATGATATAATATATTGTTGTTCAATTAAACCTGTTGTGTATATTCAGCAAATGTTTTGGGTTCATTTTGATATTCAGGTGATTGTGTGGCAGCTATGTAACCAGCATTTTCATCTGTGTAAGTTTCATCTGTATGTTCTATATCCATTGATATTTTTCTCATTTTTCGTCGTTTCTAAATAAGATGAAAGTACCAGATCTGACGATAACTATACTAAAACAAACTACTTACAGCAAGAAATAAAAGAGGAATTTTAGCCAAACGTTTCATTTGAACAACATGAACTAAAGAATCTGACGCACTTGTTTGTCGTGTGAATGTGGGCTTAGAAAGCTCAGAACCGTCATTAAGATGTTTTGAATCCTAGAAGAAAAGAAACAAAATCAATGATTTATTAAATATATCAATTGGTAAAAATTTACGTAATCTACTTTCAATTGGTCTGACATGATCAATTATTTTCACAATGTAATTTTTCTATATCCTAGATGTAAATCTAAAATGAAAATAGAAAAGTTAAATACAAAATTTTAGATTCACTTTCAGTTTTTTCTTGCTTTTATCTTTCTATTGTACATAACAACAGAATATAGTTTAATTCCTGCTACTATTTTCAGTCGAATATTATTTAAATGTATAAAAAGACATGAAACATGTACGACAATAAAAATATAAGAATAAGAAGTGCATGAACGAATAGTAAACAATTTTGTACAATTGTTAACACTTTTTATGTCATAAATTTAACGCAAAAATTTCGAAGTTAAGAAACTCACAACGACTTAATTTTATTCTTTTCATTAATAAAGAAACAAACGCTGTTTTTTCAGAACAACAACAACAACAGCACGAGGGTACAGAGAGAAACAAGTAGGAAAACACAAACAGAAAGCTAAGCTTCGGTTTCTCAGCAAATAAAAGAAACTACGTACAAAAGCCATTGCTGGTGTCTTTATTTATGCTAAAGTTAAAAAGAAAAGACACCAATAAGAAACTAGTCGTATCATGATAATTATTATACATTGAAAGATATTTTGTGACTTTAATAGATTTAGCGATTGGTGAAACGACAGAATTGAACGTTAATTTCTTCTAGTAATTATATAATGCTATTTTTACAGCATCCGTTTGAATAAGTTAATTTTGTTTGATTATTTAGAAGTCAAGCTAAAATAATTCTTGAATAGGTTCATTCATTTCAGTTTTGTAAATTATTTAATATAGGTTTGTGGGAAAAGAATGAATACTAGCATACATGCTGGTCAGGAATAAAGCCAGGATTAATGTAACAGGATCAAAAACTTCTAAAAATTTTTTTTGCTTACCTTGAGATATATTGATGGCATTACTAACACATAAATTTTGTTTTCACCCGTATATTATTGAGCAAGAAAAATCAATTAGCAAAGAGAACAGTTTCGAAATAAATTGAAACAATTCTAAATATTAGTACAGCTCTTTATCTACTATTAATCAATTGTTTTACATATAAAAATGAATGAAAATTAGAAAATTTAGTAACAATTGTTAGTGCATGAATATTAATTTAACTTTATATTTTCTTTATATGGCATATTTCCTATTGATTTCATTAATTTCCATTAGCTTTTGAGTACCTTAGCTCGATACTTAATACTCATTCTCGAAAATGTTAGTACCAGTTTATCTCTTTTAACAAACGATTAATCTCGCTGATAAAAATGAAGGCCTATTGTTATATAGATCCATTCACCTTTATTATTCTATTGAATTGAAATTTCACTTCTTGATCAATGAAGAATGAAAACAGTCACTTAAATACATTAAACAAGCTAAAAGCATTAATATAATTTATTTTAATCAGGGAGCCGAACGCTATTTTAGTAGACAGTGGATGAGTAAAATATAGAAACGAAAAATTATCTAAGTATAATGAATCTTCAAATTGCAACTTTCATTTTCAAAAAACATAGTCGTCTGTATATTACAGAGAAGAAGCGAAATATATCTAATCGGACTACATGAACAAAAAATATTAAATAATTAATTTTATTAAAGCTAGCTGTGTTAGCGATTATTGTATCTATATAGACTTGTATTAATGTTGAAAGAGTGTGAAGATAAAATCAGACATAAATATATGACGAGAGAATAAAGTGGACATAATATGTTTTCGATACTAGCCACATGATAAACTGAGAAAAACTATCTACTTATAAAGAATTTTTAGTAATACTAAGATATTCAAAGCAGTATGTTTTGTTTAATTTTTTATACACCCTAAAAGAATTTTAAATTTTTTTTTACTAGATTCTCTCGTTTAACAACAATATAAAAAAATTGTCCATTATATATAATATTGTTTGATTAATTAAAATTTACATGCATTCAAAAATCGCTTCTGTTATCCTTACATTCATGTTAATGTTATTAGCATTCAAGAGAAATATGTCTAAGAACATAGTGACACTGACGTATCTTTTTTGAGTTTGATTTTCAAGGCATCAAATCAATTTTATAAAAAAAAGATATTTTTGTTTAAGTGTCAACTAAAAAATATGTACATCACTCACACAAGAAAAACAGACGAAAGTACACAAAATTATTTAACATTTGTCTAATAAATTTACAAGCATGAGCAGTCACACGAAAATGAATAAATAAATAAATAATTGTTATTGTATAAAGAATAACCAGACTTCTTTATATTTTTTTCTAAAATAGAAAAATAAACATAATAAAGAGTATTAGTTTAAACAATTTCTTTTCAATGTCGTATGCTACATGTATTTTACAAGAGAGCATAAAACAGACTATTTGTGTCATATAACTAACGGGTGCGCCAGAAATAACTGCGCTATTAGTAATTTAAATCTTTCTCCTCTTCCTTAGACTCAGTCGAACTAATTCTACTACCAAAAGATTTCCCGTTCAAGTCTCTACAAAATGGCATATAAACGACAAGCCAGAACTTTGAGACGTTGTTTCAGCTGAACAAAATGTGATGTGCCTCGAAAACGAGAAAAATATAATCGTTTTCTACTACGTCTTTTTAATTCGAAATTTATGCTAAAAGAGGGATACAAACTGTATCCTAAGTTGCTTCTCTACACATTCAAATGTTCTCTATCTGACAGAACAGAATTCATTTCCCCTTCTTGCGTCAGTCCGGTAAAAATGGCTAAATAATTACTTTCCGTAATAAATCAGCGAAATGTCAATGTGATGATGTCGTTTTTTCAAAACAAAATTATTTCATACTGTTTACATGTGACTTTAGTAGGAAAAAATGTTCTTTTCCAAATGACACCTGAGCGAGCTTAATTGGTTTACTTTTGTCCGAAATATGATCAATCTGCGAATAGCCCTAACACGTAACGCGAAAAAGCAATGATAGGGCTTTTACAGAAGCCATGATTGTAAGCGCAAAATAAAGGGAAGAAATTCGTCTTAGCTGCCAATCAATAGAGAATTTCAAGGGCTACAATTCTGCATATTCGGTTCGACACGACTAAACAATTTGATTTATTATCGGCGAAATACTCCTTTTTTTAGTCAAATTTTTTACGTTCTCGAGATACATCACATTTTATTCAGCTGAAACAATGTCTCAAAGTTCTGGCTTGTCGTTTATATGCCAGAATTGAACGGGGAATCTGTTGTTAGTAGAACCAGTTCGACTGAATCTAAGAAAGAGGAGAAAGATTTAAATTACTAACGGCGCAGTTATTTATAGCGCACCCGTTAGACAGTTTTTGATGCTCTATCGAATAGTCATCTCGAATTTTTTACAACGTGTTTTGTTCAAATAAAATCGAGCATCTTCAGTGGGGATTTTTCTCCAAAATTTAAACTTTTGGTCGAGCTCATGTAAGTTTCTCATAACTTTTACTAAAATTAAACACGCATTCTTGTACAACTCGACGAGCTGTACAAAATTAGCCTAGCACGATCCTGCCTGCTCTTACTCGATATAAATTTGGGTGAAGGTGTACGGAAAGAGCTGTAATAAGCGGAAGAACAGTGAAAAAACTTAAATTAACGATGCTGTAAATTTGAACATTTAATCAATTTAATAATATAACACGAAACGCGCTAAGAGTCGTAAATTGAGAATTTTATTGGAGAGTAAAAGAAAAACTATGTCGACCTTCTACTACAACAATTCTAGCAAATTGGATCAAAAAATTGATGACACTAGCGAGCATAGACATTCAAAAGTTTAAAACAAATTCTTGTCATTCAGCAGTAACATCAAAAATCAAATTGCAAAATCTTAGTATAAAAAAAATATTAACTTTAGCTAAATAGTCAAATGTTCGAAGACGTAACAGATTGTATGATAAATACATAAGATAGAATGAAACTTTTCAAGGACATATTGAATTGAGATAAGATAAACAATAGTTGGAACCTATACATCCTTAACAGTTTTGTGAGAGTATAGTTTACGAAATAAAACTTGAGGGAAAACTAATAAAAAACTTTATCATCTTGTGGGGAAATTTCTACTCTATTTCCCATATGAATTGTAAGTCTATCGAATTTAGTTTTAAATAATTAGTTAGATTAATGACAAGAATTAAAAGAAACAGTTATAGAAATTGTTGATTTACGTTACGCATCAAGCATATAGATACTACTATCCATTTCAAAATAGAAGAGACGATCAGTGTGAGTGGAATAGCTGGGGAACGCGTGTAGCTAGAGGTCTGTGATTTTTTGTATTCAAGAGACAT